ACAAATGCATAACTTAATGGTTTAACATTATGACTTATAGAACTTACTTTTCGCAGTGGAATCAAAAACTCAGATCAAACGATAATATTCATGGTGCTAAAAGTCTCTCTCAGAAATATAAAGGTTCTGTTGAAAATATAGAAGTAGTGAACTGATTTGTGTTTGAAAATCAGGAGCTTTAAAAAGTATATGGTATCACACGGCATAAAATTACTTCATCAAGACTTGAATTTTATAGTATATACAATTAGTTGAGAGATATAATTATTTGTTCGGTGGGAGTTTTACAGATTTGGATTAGACATATATTATGATCAGATTTATATATTGACTTGAAGCAAAACGGATCGAAATCATACTTCTTATTTCAGTAAAAGATAAAGATCAAATGATTTAGTTTTTCGTTTTTTGGTCCCATTATCCTTTCGAAATAAATAACTAATACTAAAACGACTTTATAAACGTTGCTCGGCATATGGACTAATGTCTGCTTTATAGTATAATATTATTATTATTATTACTGTGATAATAAGCACTAACAGAGCTTTTTCGAATTTTGCTAGAACAGTAAAAAATGATATAATTGAATTATAGAGATGTCCAAAGCAAGAATAAAATTTTAAAGAAAAACTCTTTCTTGCGCAAAGGAGCTTCCTCTCGCATATACAGGTGAACTGGAATCTTAAGTGAGAATTTGATTGTTTGTATGTTTCTGATTTTAGAAATTATGACTAATGGCGTTTTCGATTGCCAAATCTAGATTTGCCCTCGATCTGTCATTTTTCGATCGAATTTTGTGACCGAATCGAACATCTTTAGGGTTATCCTTAAATATTCTTGTCAAATAACATAAAGGAGCTCTTTACATGGTAATCTTATTAAACTGACAAAAATCCAGATTGTTAGAAATTAATCTTGAATGTTATACAGTTTGCCGAAAATTAATTAATAGAAAATGAAAACTGTACTTAATGTAAATATCGGTGGAAAACTTAACCTAGATTTGCCAATCGAAAACGACTAAGATGCCAAAGAAGCTTTATTTTACATATGAAAAGGAACATAAACCTTGTTCTGAGAAGTTTGTTGTTTTATATATGGGACAGTTTCAGATAAATAAAATTGAACATTATACCATCTACCATATATATCATATATTACCATTATAACTACTTTGCTGGTTCAGATATTTACGTAATGTGATTAAGCCATTAAGGCAGTAGCATATTCTGAGTATTTTCTCACTTGAATATAAATCTGAAGATAATACAAAGTTAATAAATATTTTTTTTTAGCACAACCCCCTCTTTCCACAATTCTGGCTTTGCTATTGCTTTTAAAAACTAAGTTTCTTTATAAAAAAAGACTTTAACTGCTATTTCTTTGATAATTCTGTGATGTGTGCTAGTTCTTGTTGTAAATTTTAAGTCGGTAATCTGAAAATCTTTACTTTATTATATATGTGGACTTGGTATCTTAGTCCACTGACAACATAACGTTTAATTCTTGATTAATTACATTGCGAATATTCGCATATTTATCAATAGTCGTGGAGGTTGTCTTCAGTATTATTTTATTTATTCAGTATTATTTTAATGTACCTATGTCGATGAAGGTGAAAACTTTCAATGACTTGCTGCATATCTATGTATATAGCTAAGCAATCGATATGGAGATCTATATAAGTCTGTATTAAGGGGATCTATATAAGTCTGTATTAAGGAATTCAAAGCTTTGATGAGTCCAATTTTTAATCAGTTTTAATTAATATTTTTATATTCTATTTGCAAAAATATTATTTAATATACATGTAAATATAATAATTATTTATGTTTGAATTATACTTTGTGTGATTTTTTCCAAATTTTGGACACAAAAATAATGTCTTTTGAAATAAATTAAATAATATTCTACGTTATTCATTTTTAAAATTTTAAAATAAATAAAATAAAATATAAAATAAAATAAAATAAATTTCTGTGTAATTTAATTGGAAGTTTCGCTTACATTCTTGCAGCGGGCCTCGTGGCTAAGTTGGTTAAAGCGCCTGTCTAGTAAACAGGAGATCACGAGTTCGAATCTCGTCGAGGCCTGATGGTGGGAAGGTTTTTTTTAATTATTTTTTATTTATCATAGACTAAGTTCTTTTCAAATTTTTATTTAATTATTTATACCATCAGAATTCATTCAAATAAATAATTAATGCGAATTTTATTGCATTAAAATATTTATTTTTTTTAGTTCTAATATTTTAATTTAATAATAATTCTACATGCGTAATTCTAAACGCTTAGATAATACTTTGTAGGGCTATGCACATCACTTAGCATTGACAACGAAATCATTCACAAGTTGAAGTGCATTTTAGTTCATATGTAGTTATTCTTCACTGAAGTCAAAGTTTAGGTAAACACTTTTTTTTTGATGTGTTGAGTAATTTTTAAAATAAACACAAAAGTTATCCATAAATACTTTATCCTATCGACGAAATTATTATGGACTCATCTCTAATATTTAAACCCATATTGCAGAGTCCTTTTATTTTTTGATCATTTAGTGAGTAGCTGAAACTATTGCGATACTTGAAACGAACATATATGCAACACATACTGACTCATATAGTTCAATAAATGCACTTCCTTTAACTTTTTAAAAAAATATTTTTTATTCGTTTGCATTTAATCCAGTTGTGATTCAGGAAGCGACATTCAATAAAATAGCAGGTAAATACAATATCTCTATAAGAGGACATAAGAGCAAACATGTTTACTATAGCGGTCCAGTTTAATGTTCGTAAAGACTTCAATGGCGTATGGCATCATGAACTCTATATAGAAAACAGATGCTTTTATATTGAAATGTAAGGAAGATATATCAGTAACGAATATAATTAATGCTGGAGTACTACAGTGTAGTGTGACTAGCTATGGAGTTAACAGATATACTAATTCCGACCGAAAATCACAATGTGATGGTCACAGTTGCTGATGTCACAGGTCTATTATTTATGGACTATAGTATTGACACGATTCGAAAAAATCTACAACTTCCAATAAATAGGTTAATTGAATGGTTTACAAAATGTACAAAACGAATGATATAAGTCGTTTAAACATATAGAAAGTACACAGAAAACCAAATTGACAAATAACCGATTCGTACTGATAGGAAAGCTTAATGTTTTGGATTGATGATAGTTCGAAAATTTAACTGGAAAGACCACTTATCAATATATGCAGATAAGTACTATTGGCACCAATTTCGAGGGTTTCCAGATATTTTAAAGAAAATATACTGTGTGCTTTGTTCGAACTCAAACTTCAAACTTCCAAACAAATAATCTATAGAGTGTTTATTCCGATATAACTGAAGTAGTTATATCCAAATATCATTGATATTGCGGCTTTAATAACAACGAAATTCGCCTGAATAGCAGATAGTGAATCATTATTGCTATTATGAACTCAGTAGGCAATTGAGATGTAGAACTTTCTATCATCCAGAGAGATCATAGCTCGCTAAATCTAACGACACTTTTACATGACAGAGAAGCTTAAATGCTAACATAGAATAAAGAAGCAACATTGGAAGTTTTCGAAAGCACTATTACCGCATCCGAATCAACCGCGAGCTATACAAATTTTATCACGATATTAATAATTGTATAGTTCAGCCAATTAAAATCCAGCAGCTTCATTGGTTTCGAAATGCCGTGAGAATGGATAATAATACTTCAGCAAAAATGGAGCTTGAAATGGTAGTTGGAGGAAGAGCGCGTGTAGGTGGACTTAACACACTTGAAGTATGAGACTGGTGAAGGTGCGCACACAGCATAGGGCTGACACCCGGTAACGGGTTGCTCTGACCATTAAAGTAACAACTGATGTGGGGTGTTTAGCAATACTGGAAAAAGCTGTATGATTAGCCAAAATATTGATGCAATTTAATATAAAAATATTATTATAATATAAATAATTTTTATTTATTCATTCATGACTTAAACAAAGCAACTATATGTAAATATGTAACTGTTAAACTCATAATATTTTGCAAAATTGTCCCTATATAAGTTTTAATGAAGAACTAACACAATTTTAAGATATTTTATTTATGATGCATTAATTTATTTACTTATATTACTTTGTAGTTCTACTGAGACTTTATAGTCTCAATATTCTCATGCGATTCGTAAGAGAATTTTTCATTTCTAAAATGGAATTATTTTTATTATAAATTTTTGAGCCATTTATGCTAAATATGTCTTCTGTACTTATTTGGGAACAGTCAAAGCGTAATCAAGTTCTTAGACAAAAAGTATTGTCTTTCCTTATATAAGTATATAGAAAATTGAAGTTATTCATGAGAATAATTGGAGTGAATATTTAATATTCTTATGAAAAATATATTTATGTAAATAATAATTATTGAATAGAATACATATGTATAACAATAAAATTTGAAATAAATTCTTTATTTTTTTGCCACACATCACCTGCTACCTACGAGTTGATAAGGTAGATAGATTTTTTGATAAGGTCCGAGTAAACCTAACATACTATGTATTCCTTGTCATACTGTGTTAAGTAATGATAATTTCTCAGCCTTTCAATCGCAATGCTGATTGCAGAAATTCGAATAAATTTTATCATATTCTCATTCCTTAATCGAAATGTTATTTTCATCAGGTTTTGATAAAAGTAAATTCCTTCTGCGATGCTCCAATTCTACTGGCAGTTAAGTGCCTGCACGGGTTTACACTTATGTATGCATATGTTTGCAAAACTAGAAATTACCTTTTAACTTTTCAGTACTTACATTGAAATTTATATATTTTATTTGATTTAGTTTTTCTTATTGTTTTGGAAGTTATTGGTTTTGGTTCATCTTTGTTTGTTTTTTTTTTTTGCTATTACGTTAATTTTTTTTTTTGTGTTTTTGTGTTATCCATAATACTTTACAATACACATATCAAATGTAATAATGCACAGATACAAACTCACCTCTACGTTTAGTCCAGTTATAAATCCAAAAACTTTCATTGCCGGATTTTCCTTGGGTGTGTAACGATAAAACTCACGTCGTCCCTTGTACCATTTCACTGAATATAAAGTCTCATTTTCCATATCGTAATTGCATGTAAGCAGAGCATTGCTGCCACGTTTCACTGCCTGTGGTATGGATACGGAAACATCCTTGAGTGCGACAATAAAATCTGCAAGCAAACGAATAAGAAAAGTAAGAACAAAGCGTATTACCAGTGGAACCACAGAGAGATCAGTATGGTGGACATAATACCGAAAAAGTTATTTTAAATAAAATAACGAAATTGAAAACAAAAGTTAAAAATATAAAACAAAAATTCCAGATATACTATATATAAAAAATAATAAAAAAATAAAAAAATAAAAAAAATAACAGAATAACAGAATAACAGAATAAAAAAGATATGCTAAAAGTTTTTAGATTTCGTAAGAAATCAAAACGTAAATTTGTTGTAAATTCATGTTTATATACGTAAGCGTAGCCATATTGAATTGGCAGGTGAGATTATGCCAGAGCAGTACAGAGCACAAACCAGACTCAGGACCTATACGAGTCTGTTATGTGCATCTTACCGTTTATCAATACATGCATTTGAGTACTTTTGGTACCAATTTCGGGGGTTTTTTCGGATTTGTTTTTTTTTGTTTTTTTTTTTTGAATTTATTGTATTTTTCTTCTATGAACTTTTGCATTATAGTTTCATTTTGCTGCATATCAGTTTGGCAGTAGTTGTAATTTCCCAACTTAACGTTGTAGGTGAAATGGTCAAATTTTCGTAATAGCTACACAAAATGATATGTGAAAATTGCTGCTGGCAAAAGTTTTTAAAATATTTATTTTATTTGATTTTATTTTATATTGTACCGAAAAATAATATTAGAAAAAATAATAGAGAAATGCTGAAAATACCGAAAGTTTTGAATATTTGGAGTGTGTTATGTGCGCTTTTTGTTTTAAAGTTTCAGCAAAAGTTTCACAGTTTAGCACTGCATAATTTATACTAATTATTTTATTTTTCAACTTTTCAAAGTAATAATATTTAAAAATATTTAATTAATAACTTTAATATCTTAAACGCAACGAAGTTCAAGTTATTGCAACGGTTGCCGCTTCAAACGTAACTGCCTGTGTACGGTAGATTTCTAGCATAAAGTTAGCCAACATAATTGCCAAACATACCTACATTAATAGGAGTTTCACTACATATAATACCTTGTATAACAACTTAATACATCGTAAAATATTTTGACATTAGAAAAAAAGAAAAGATGGTATGCGGTTTCGTCTCCACACGACACCAAAATATCGTGAACACCGCTTAGGAACCAGTTAAGAAGATCTCAGCCATCAGATTGTGAAAGATGTTTATATAAAATCGCATAATCCATAATCAGTAATCAGTAATAAGAGATTTAGTAAGATAATTGTAAATGCGAGGATCAATTTATATGTTTAGGGTATTAATAATCCTAGGTAATGTAAGGTACTAGCTGATTTACCAGTACTTCATTCAGCAAGTTTTGTCTTTAAAATTAATATACGCTGTTTAAAGTGATTCAAAAGTTATATTTTAGTAAAGAAACCGAAATTCTGGAAAAATTGATATAATAAATTTTTATAAAGATGGATCAGTATTCAGTTTCTTTAATAAAGTTCAACAAGAGAGGTTTAATTTTGCGACTACACTTTTTTTTCTAGACTGTGGTGGTGCATCCCATATCTCAAGTAATCGTAGAGTTATAAATTCAAACAGAAACTGTGCTGGATTACGTCGAAATGTTTGCAAACTATTTCATTTGATCCACTAAAAATAAATCCAGTAGCTATCTTCCTGATAACTTTTTTGTGAATACTTTTACAAAATGTTAAAGATGACTTACTAAAAATTTTTACCATTACTTGCAATCCTCTTTTCCAATTCTTTTTAAATAATAGATAACAGATATTTTTAAACTTTATTCTAAGTTATTTTAGCTATATTCTGGGTATCCATATTTAATAGGTTGTGGGACCATAATGGAACTTAATGAACCCTTTTTGAATGATTAAATATGATATGTGCAGAATTCACATATAATCCGACAAGCTTTTTTAACATTGACTATTTTACTACAGTGAACTGTAGTAAATTCTTCATCATTTTAGTTATTGTTAATTGACACTTTTACTAGTTTTTAAATTCAGAACATTTAACAGATTTTTTCGTCCTTACTTTAAAAAAGTACTTCTCTCAAAATCTTTTTCTAATAAAGGCAATAGCTGCGTAGTCACAGGTAGTTTATGTTCCCTGTAAGTTCTATAACTCCTGAAATGAGTATTTAAAGGAATTGTAAGTCTTAAGTAATAAAAGTAGAAAAATAACAATTTTGATATAACACTCTCTAAATATGTCTTTTGATAATGACCAAAATGCGTGTAAAACTGTCGTAACTATCAGTTATATGACTGTATATATATATATGAAATAAATTAAACGCTAGCGCTTACTTTGTGTATAAAATGAAGACAAACTTAAAAGGAGGAGAATAAGGAGATGGACTTGTATGATATTGTTTGCATCCAACAAGACACACCCATCGATCCCTGTCTTTATCTTACAAATATATTGATACCTTTTCCAATAGGGCTAATATCACTGTAGTCGAATATAAACGGGGACTTGCAGCCGTCTACAGAGATCAGTATTCTATTTAAAAGCACGGTTACAATGCAACAAATGTCTCAAATGATCACAGCCACGCATTTCTCAGAAAAAACGATGGATGACTTCATTGTGCAGCAAAAACTGTTCTAGTTTAATTGATATCAGGATATAGCCATCTGCTAAACACTTATTTGTCGCGTATAAACACATCAGCTGATAATGTATGCCTTATCTGCTGCTTTACCTTCCATTATGTCGCTTGTTTGTTTTCATACCCTACCCCATACACAAACCTTAGTTCAATCGACCTTTGGACCCAGTCCTTAGAAGTGGCAAAGTTTCTCTGTCCTGATTCTGGTTGAATTTAATTTAAGTCCAACCCATTCCAAATCCATCATAACTCCCTGACATTCCCCTCCCCTCTCACACAACCATTAGCTATCTCCATCCTAACCCATGTGTTTGTCATGTAATTCCTTTCATATAATCTGCTTTTCAGATTCCCGTGGGCCACAACAGAAACAATGGATAGACTTCTCTTAAAAGTCTTGTTTTATAAGTCTATGTTTTATAACGCAAAGATGATTTATAATGTTTCAGACAGTTCTGTGCAACAAAAACAAATAAATTTTGAAGTCAGAACTATATGTTGTTTTCTTTTAAATTAACAAAATAAACATAGAAAATAAAATATAATACAAAATTATAATAAAGAGGTTTTTTCGGACAGTAGTGAACTACAACAACAGAAATTTTATATTTTTATATTATTTTAATTAATTGAATTTTTGCTGACCATACAGCTGTTTCGGGTATTGCCACATACCCATCAACAGTGGTCTTGGAAATAATTCTTGTATTTAATTATTCGTAAATAATTTATCTTGAGACTGTAAGTACGAGGAATTGAACTCGTGCTCTGCCAAATTTGACGCTCAGAGTCAGCGCTTCTTAACCAACTGACCCAACGTCGTACTTGATTTTTATGTTAGCAAATTTTTGTGAAGTATTATTTTATAATATAAATATACGGACCTATTCTGTGCACTTGACAAATTTGTCAAATTCTTTAATAAAATTTTTGATTTTTATAAAGCAGAAAGCTTTTTGGTTTTCTGGACACATCTTGACAAATTTCAAAGCTCAAGTACCTAATGCTTGTCACCACACTATGGTGTAAAGTATTTTGTATATAAAACTGTTCGTAATTGTTCGTAATTGTTCGTAACTGTTCGTAAAAAGGAGCATATATTTTAAATTATCGAAAGCATTTTTCATGCACTCATATCACAATAAAAAAAATGCTTGTAAGGAGCGTTCATTTTAGTTAAGAATATTTGTCATGCATGCAAATAATAAAAAATGCTTAAAAAGAGCATATTTTTATAGTTGTCAACAGCATTTAAGGTATTGACACTAACAAGAAAAAGAGCTTTACACCTTTACATCAGTCAATTTTGACAAGTGTCAAAGTTTGACAATTTCATAAAGTGCACAGAATTGGTCCGATAGTATATATATAATATAAAATATAATAGAGAAAAAAATTATTTGCTTAAATCAATTCGACATCGTGTAAAATTCATGAAAATATATTGAATTAATGTGTAAAGGAAAGAAACTCTTATATTAAAGATATGTTGTAAATTTAAGATTTAACATTGTGAGATATTTATTTAGTGCAGTTGTTAAAAATGTATTAAGCAGTCAATAAATTTTATTTTATTTTCAAAACGTGCTTAACAATTTAATAAATGTAGGTTTCATCAATATTTTACCCACTTTGTTTGTTATTCGTTACTCGTGATGTCACCTTGATTATGCCTTTGCCATGTCATTTCCGTAAATGGTTTCGGTCTTCTCATCGCATACTAAATCGAAACTAAATGAAATCATTCATTTATTTTTTTACCCTTTCATTACTACGTTTTCAATGCAACACTGTATTGCATTGATTGAAAACATACACTGAAAAAAAAGTTTATTTTATATTTTAATTACACCATTGATTTTGTACGCTACTTTCATTTACTTGTCACAGATCAGTTTCAGCTAAGCACGTGTCTCCAGTGGAACAGGACAATTAAACAGAAAGTAATATAAGCGTACTTTTTTAATTAAAAATCCAATTTACTCCTTGTGCTATGCTGATTTTTCTCTTTTATGTAACACAAAAAAAAAACAAGAAAAAAACGAAAAAAATAAAAGAATTTAATAAAAACAAAAAAATTTTAAAAAGTATAAATAAAAAAAATTTTAAAACGCAAGTATAAAAATGCAAGTGAATAGTAAAAATTTTTTGCAACCGCAAGAATTTTTCACAATTTCAATTTCTTCAACTATTTTCATTACTTGTATTTTTTACATTAAGTAACCGCAGTTTTTCACCATTGAAACATTTTTGAGAAAGGTTAATAAAAAAAGATTAAATTTCTATGCGACTCAGTGTCGTGAAATGGATAAAGTTAAAAAATGTGTAAGAAAAAAAAATAAAAAATAAATAAAATAAAATTGTTGGAAGCATAACAAATAAAAAGAAGTGAAAAAGTAAAGTAAAAAAATTGGCGGTTCAAAAACCAAAAAACCCAAAAATAGTCA